TGATTAACCCACATATAAACTATTATTCGTATATGTACCTAAAAAACTAATAAGTTCTTGAATAAAATGTAAAACATTAATACATTTTTGTAAAACACAAATTAACAAAWTACTAGGTAGGCAGAATCAAAATTATATATTAATTGATTATTTTAGATATTATTATTATCTGTAATGACTAAAAACTCAAAGATCATAAAATATTTTTGAATTTTTACTGAGTGCGTATAATTTCAGAAATGGTATTCGTCAGTGAAAATTTGACAAATAAGAATAAAATATCATATTCAGCAGTGTGAAATATGTCAACGATGCAGTATTTTGAAGATTATGATTCGGATATGGGGTAAGTAGGTTTTTTTTTTAGTACCTAACTTATATTGTTAATTGATCTGAGAATACATTGCTCGCTATTTTAAAATTATTTGTATTGAAACCACTAGTATGACACTATTCCGATTATAAATAAAATCACGATAAAAGTTAGAAAATTGGTGAGGTGTAATATTTTTAAATATTTTTAAAATTATTTCCTCAGTGATATTTAAATATTTTCACTGATTATCAGGTACGATGACYTGTAGGTACTATAGTGACTGGGAGTGTGAGATTGGGAGAGTTGTGAGAGGGGGAGGATAAACATGGATAGGTAGGGARAGGAAGAGGGAGGGAGAGGGATAGGGAGGATAGAAATGGCTAGCGATGGAAAAAGATATGGTAAATAAGCGATAGGGAAAGAGAGAGATAGGRGGAAAGAGAGATAGGGAGAGAGAGGATTAGGGAGATAGACAGAGTAGGTGCGATGGAGAGGTTGGAGAGAGAATAAAGGGGTAAAGAGTTATAGGGTGTGAGAGAGGGGATTAGAGAGGATTTGGGAGACTGAGAGGGGRTAAGAGAGATATTGGGTGAGAGATAGTTAGGGTCTGAGAGAGAAGGTAGAGTGAGTTTGAGAGAAAGAATGATAGGGTGAGAGTGAGGGGGTATAGAGGGATATGGAAAGAGATAATAAATGGATAGATTTGGGTGACGGAGAGGGTTAGGTTTGGTTAGGTGGGTGAAGGGGGAATAGTTAGGTAGGTTAGTTATGTTAACAATGCCAAATACGTAGGAAAAGATCTTGAATTGCAAAGGTAACAGACCCTTTGGCAGAAACCACCAAGTCAATAGGCTTACAACCTTCGACTTATTGGATAGAATAAAAAGAGAAGGTTGGTTAGGCTGATTAAGAGGATGTCGGTGTATCTTTTCTTTCTCTAACCCACGTATATTATACCAACATATTCATTTACGATAATGATAAACGTACAATTTGGTATATTGTGCGTGGGTCAGAGAGAGAAAAAAKAAATACACTGATATCTTCTTAAGTGTTATCAAGTTGAATAGGCTATTGATTGTTGACTGTATTATAAAAGTTTGTAGGAATGTCATGCAACAACACAAAATGTAGCCAATGAGGGCGCTGTCCCCACACTCTACATTGAATATTGCCATTATGCCAAAAATGACCAATCGTATTTTAGTACCTAGTTTTGGGAGAAGCTGTTTGAAGTTTCAAAATTGACTTATAACTTATAAGTCAARAATATAACGAACATTTACAAACCTGATATCAAAAAAACTGCAAAAATAATATATAGGTACAATATACAATATACTCAACATTATTGTACAAAAGTATATCTTCATAATATTATTGTTGTTTAAATTTGTAAATCTCAATTTACCAACTTAAATTAATAAAAAAGTTGACCTCGTAAAAATGCTTACTTCAATTCTAGTGAAAGACCAACTAAAAAGTATGATTGGTTATTACTCATTAGTCGTTGCATATTTTGTCAACATATTTAATCAATCAAATTAATATT